GTCGTGCTAAACAATGGCAAAGAAATGTACAAAAAAGTGTGCTGCATGTTAACCGTTGTCTTTTTCTCACCGTTTCTTTAGCATTACACGATTTTACGTTCTGTTTGAGTAAACTAATAATATTAAAGAGAGCTTCGCTTTTAGTCCTGGCTAAATCTATTTACGACATTTATTGCCCTAAGCGTTGTTGCCAAGTATGTATTTTAATGTAGCAAAAAGGGTCTATTATATTAGTGAAGGATCTTGGCAAATACATAAATAAATAAATAAATAAATAAATAAATAAATAAATAAATAAATGGAATTTTGAAGCAATAACCTGGTGAGGAGATGTCACACTCATTCGATAGTAACAAATACAAATGAAAGAAATGAAAGTTAAAAAGGTTTTAGAAGGTTAAATCCAACCTCTATGACTTTTTCAAGCTTTTTCTCTCGAACCTCTGAAAATAAAAATGCAGTTAGTTTGGTAGTACCAGAAATGAATGTATTCATTAGTTTTATCGTCTTATTCTCAGTAGCTATCTTGCAAAAACACGCGACCATTTTTTGCTTGAAGTTCAGAAAGCTGGGATAGGCCAGACTCTTGCAGTTTTCCAGTGAGACTGAATGACCATGTTTTGTCCCATTTACACAACGGATTTAGCCAGTTGCCTTTGGCTTCTGAAAATTAAGAAGATTTGACCCCAGAAAATTGCCGTGCTCATGCGTTTTGCTTACAGTTTTCACGTCACGAGTGCTCTATTTTCAATCCCATGATACCACGGATATTAGATCTAAGGCTGGTCTAGAACTTCTTGATAAAATATACACCACTTAAAAAATAGCCTTAAGTAATAAAACTTCGTGAACAATAGTTTTTTGGTAAGGAATGAAATTATGCGTGCTCTCAAAGGTGGCACCTTAAGGGTAAAATTGCTGGTTTCCGCCCATTTTTAACTATACTGTTTGATAAAAAAGGATAATAAAGTTCCGTAGTGGATCATGTTCAGTTGAATACGTCTTCTTTAAAGATGACGGTCGGGATCAGATTAACTATAAGGACTTTAATAACAATAATAGTAATGATAACTTTTTTATTGAGGGTACTTCATATCTCTCAATAATCTACACAGAGCCCTTTAAAAACAGTCAATCAAAAAACACTGATTAAAAGGCGCGAATTTGCAGATAAACTAACTAAGGAATTGCTAAAATTGCCCATTACAATTTACTAATTTCAATTTGGTTAAAAAGCAACCAAGCTACATGGAAATGGACACGAAATATATTAATTTTTATCATGGAAACATCCAACATCCGTAGGTTGGCTCCAACCATTCTGACCTGCAACGCTACATAATTAAGATTTTGTGATAAATAGTTATGGATATTAGTTACAGCAAGTTTAAATGCGCGTCCGACAACATGGCGCGGACAATGTGGCGTCGGCCCTTATCAGGCTCCATTTTCTCCAAAACTGGAGAGCGCTATCAATTGTATAAATCTCTATCCAGTGGATAGTGCAATTGGTTTCCCTAGTAATACTTATCCACTGGATAGAGATTTACTCCAATGGATAGCTCTATCCAGTGTTTGAACAACTGGGGCCAGATGGCCTGTAAACGTTTAACAAGTTATCACGTAATTTGATCGACTAAAATCGTAGGTCGTATATTGGCAATGAAACGGATCAAAGGGCCACTATGTTAAAACTGATAGTTTAAATACTCAGCCAGTATACACTTAAAATGGAATCTCCAGATACTGTGATCTTTTGTATATCTTATACGCTCCGAGACTCCTTTTCATATTTCCAGAGTCAAAACCCTTGTAGGCGTGAAAGGAATTTTTTATGAAAGCTCGCACGACATTCATGACTTTGTCTTAAAGTTCGTAAAGCTCTTTAGTGCCGGTAACTCTGTATATGGCTCTTTGTTTTCATTTACTTCGTTTTAGACCTGAAGAGAACCTTTATACGGTCTCACTCTGGTGAGTTTTCTTTTTAAGATAACTTATAATCAGTAACATTCCAACTTACTTCAATTCAGTTGATAGGAACCTGCTCTGCGGGCTGAAACTGAAACATGGTTCGACTACAACTCGTCGTGTCCGTAATTGTGCTGGTTGCAGTCTGCAATATCGAAGTGGTAAGGTTTTATTACTGTAATCAGCTCAGGGGTGAGAGTAAGTTGTTAAAAGGAGAATAAAATAGTTTGTACATCATTAATTTATAAAAGACGTTTACTTAATGCATGACTGTTTGTGTCCACTGTTAATCAGAAATCTTGAGACCAAATAATAATACTAAGACGGCGGAAAATAGTGCTTCGCCATAAAGACTCCCTCGGTTGGTGGATTTTTCGTTAATATTCAGAAGGGACTGTGTAAAGCTTATTCATTAGAAACAGTATTATAAATAGGTATACTATGGTCGGTATATATCTGAGCGTTTTTTCTTTTCTTCTTCTTTTTTTTCTCGAGCCGTGATACAGAAATCATTCTAAAGATAAAGGATGGGTTGCGACAATGACAAAAAATTCTAGGCTTTCAGTTGAACATCCACTTCACCGGCCAAAATTGACTTACCAACAAACACTAAAAGAAGCTCAACTGAAACAACCTACCAACACACGCAGCACTCTAAAAACATCTCGACTCTGCTTTTCTGGATGTGCTTACAAAGCTAAAACTAAGTAATAAAATTTTTTCTGTGGGTGCCTTGATGAACTGACTTTCTATATGGGGCTTAGTTTAACTACAATACCCGTCAAATTTCGTTGAAACATTAGACTGAAAGTGAGTATTTTTCATGTCAATCCTTCTCCACCAACTTATTTAACTTTTCCCCCAGTCCATCCCCTTAGAAAAGAAGTTCAACATATTCGAGGGGCTACTCATAGTTAGCCGATTTAATGGATAGAGTTTTTGAGTCGGAAAAGAGCTTCCAACCTTTAAAACAACCAAAGCCTGTACTGTGTATAAATGTTGTAAAATTATGAATTCTAACAACTATCTCATTAAGACGCATACTTTTCATACTTTTCATTCTCGATAGCGAGCTTACAGACGAGCTTTTGCTTATCCTTGGATAAAAACACTGGATAAATTTCGCAGAAATGCAGGTAAATAAGTCTGGCCATGCATTGTTGAGACAGGCACTACATGAACAAAAAATTCAATGTCAGTAAAGAAAAGGCTATGCCCTTGTATAAATACTTATTCTACCGAGCCTTGTCAGTCAAACAGAATAATTGTCTCTTGCAAATAAAATAAGTCATAATTATGCTGAATGTACCACAACCTGTTCATTTTCAGCTACCAAAATAAACAATTTTGGCGTGCAGATTCTGGTCTGACCCGTGTGCATTGGGTAACGGAGCTTGTTGAACAAGTTCAGCAGCCCAAACGTGGATTTGATTCTCTCCACAGACAAAAAAATTAATTTTTCTCCTCCTGTGAGCACATTTTCACAAAAAAAATTAAAGTACTCATGAGGTGAAAAATTTTATCTTTTAATTGAAAGTACTTACCAGGACATCTGTCAAAAATCTTGCAATTTGAACACAACGTGATTTTCTTAGAAGTCTTAGAAGTTTCTTTTTTTGCAGCGTTCAATTTTCGCCATTTTGGCTCTCCATTCGGCTTAGTCTTCTCTCGGATGCCTCTCGGAAACAAAGGGGCTGTGAGGTAGATTAAGGAACTATGAAGTAAATTAAAGAACAAGTGAATTTAGATTCAACAAAACGAGTATGGAGTTCAATTTGCACACTGAAACAGCT